TTTTAGGAGATACTAGTCCTAAAAATGGTACCCTCTTCTGAGATATCAGTCACATAACCAGTGTTAGGTTCACTACATCAGACTAGTTTCCTAAAAAAAAAAAAAGGAAAGCATGCTCAATCTTAGTTAGACAGACAGACTTTTTTTTCCCCAGTGAATAGATGTTAATGCAGAGATCCGTAAATTGTCAATGTGTTCAGAAAAAAATGATTGTAGTGTGCTGAGCTCTAAACAGGACATCTGTATCATCCCGTCTAAGGCTGAAGAACATCGTGGAAGATTTAGTGAAAAGACTGGAAGAGCCAGAGGATGGGGAGGGGTGCTGTGAAATGAACTGCTTTTCTAGGCATGACATGACTGTTATATACATAAACTCACATCAGATGTGAACATATGAATAAGGATTGCACAATACTGAGTCCATCAGCATTCAATAATAGGTTGGGAAAGGCTTTCCCAGGAAGAGCAGTTATTGACACATAAGGGATGCTGCTGGGGGAGGGGTGGAGGTGTGTTCATTTTTATTCAGTGGTATAACTAGAATCTGGTAAATTGTCCATGCTCTAGTAAATGACCTCTCTATTCATAATGTGTCAGACTAACAGTCAAAACTAGCACACATACCTAGTCCAATTAATACTATGCATATATATAGGTGTGTGGGACTATCCACTGCATAAGAAAACAGGGGTCATATCCCTGCAACAAACTTAAATATCCCTCCCCTAACACCTACCAACTACCAATAGTTCCTCATCTAGGGGGTTGGAGCCTTGTGTGCCCTTCCGCCATCCATGCCAGCCTGTTGACTGACCTGATCTTATGCGGGTCTGGTACAAGCAACTACAGAAGCCATGAACTCACAAGGACAAAGGTATCATAACATTCAGAAAACAGTTTTATTCCAGTGCTTCCTTACTTTTGACTTTTACAATCTTTCTGCCTCCACTTATGAGATATTTCTTTGACTTTGAAATGATTATGATATGGATGTTCCAGATGGGCCTAGATAACCAGCAGTTACTTATCCTTAGTACTTTTATTATGAGTCTACACTACCTGTAACCATTAGAAAGTAATTCGTTATAGCCTAAACTATTATACAACTGTTAGGTCAGTGGGCATATCTTACCTTTTATATTGGTATTTTAACATGCAGGGTCTACAGCTAAGATCTACCATTGATGATTTTTCTCCCCCAGCTGCCTATATAACATCATAGTATCTAAAGTATATGATGCTTTCATTATTAGGACCATATCTTGTTATGAGTCTACTAAACAAGACAAGGAGATAGACTGTGACAGGTCTTAATCCCTGCAAATGTTCATTCACGTGTGAATCTGTGAGGCTGATGCTAAGACAGACTTCAATTCAGTCCTTGGGAGTGGACATGGACAGTCTATATCCAGTAAAGTCACATTGGTATTGAGAAACCTTTGCGACTTACCTCCCAACATCCCATGGCTCAGATTCCAAATATGGAACTTTAATGTTTGTCTTACTTTCTTTCTTTTTCTGTAAGTCCAGATTATAATGGTAATGGTAACCTGTGCCATTGTATCTTGAAACAAAGTTTGGTACCAAACTTTGATATCTGAGTTTGTATTTAGTCTCACCTGAGTTCTTGTATTTTTGAGAATCCTAAAAGTTATTTGATGTTAGCTATTAGAAATGGATTAAGTGCATTTTTGCTTTGTGAGGTGGATATGAACATTTGGAGACCAAGGAGAGAATGCCATGTTTGTCAAAAATTTGGATGTCATCTTGGAGTCACTGAGCGATAGTAGAAACTAGAGGAAGTTAAATCATTGGAAACATATCAAACTGTGAGCCAAAATTAGACTTTGCTTCCTTAAGTTGCAACATCAGAAGTAACTAATATAGAATATTGGTACTGAGAAGTGGCCTTGTGGTTATTAGGTCTTTGGAACTGGTATATGGGAGGAATATTAAAAAATTTGCATCCAGTAGCTGATTGAAGCAGAAGCAGAGATTCACAGCTAAGCACTGAGACAAACTCCTGAAATCAAGTTGTAAAGAGGAGTGATGAGCAAAGGGGTAAAGATCATGCTGGGGAAACCCACAGAAACAGTTGACCTGAACAAGTGGGAGCTCAGACCCCAGACTGACAGCTGGGAAACCAGCACAGGACTGAGTCAGGCTCCCTGAACCTAGGTGTCAACTGGGAGGACTGGACAGTCTATGGGGCCTCTGGCAGTGGAACCAGTATTTATCCCTAGTGCACAAATGGACTTTGGGAGCCCAATTCCGTATGGAGGGTTAATCTCTCAGCCTAGATTCACAGGGGAGGGCCGAGGTTCTGTCCCAAATGATGTGACAGACTTTGATGATCCCTCATGGGAGCACTCACCCTTCCTGAGGAGTGGATGGGGGTGTGATGGGGAGATGGGGGGCGGGGGGAGGACAGATGGGAGGGTGAGAGAACTGGGATTGGTATGTAAAATAAGATTGTTTTTTAAGTTTGTTACTTTGAACTACTACAGTCCTTGTATAATATATGGAACATTTAATGACCCATTCTGGTGTGAGCTTGAAAAAGAATGCTCAGAGAAAAACAGTGGGTGTTCAGTTTGTAAGATTGAAGAAGGGAACATGAACTGTCAGAAATTGTGCTAGGAGCCATTAAGGTTATATGCTGAAAAAAAATTGGTCTGCATTGTCTTCATGTCATCTTAAGTCTGAATTTAAAGTTAATGAACTTCAAGGGACGATTGTATTCAGACTGTAGTATAGTTATGACTTACCTCTGTTTATCTGGTAAAGGTATAAAAATGTGTAGCTTCTTAAGGGGAAGTGCTTGAGGATTTTAAAGCTGCAGCTAAGGTATATGCCAAAAGAGGGCTATATTTTTTTAATTTTTATTTTTAAATTTAAATTAGAAACAAGGTTGCTTCACATATGAATTCCAGGTCCCTCTCCCTTTCCCTCCCCTCCTCCCACGCCCTCCCACCATCCCCTCCAATATCCCCTCATTTCCCCAGGGAGGGTGAGGCCCTCCATGGGGGTGTCCATAGTCTGTCATTTCATCCAGGGCAGGGCCTAGACCCTCCCCCAAGAGTCCAGGATGAGAGTGCATCTCTCATTGTTGGATGGGAGACGAAAGTCCATTTGTATTTCCCAGGATAAATACTGATCTACTACCCAAGGCCCAATAGATTACCTAGGCCTCCTCACTGATACCCATGTTCAGGGGGGTATTGATCAGTCCCATGCTGGAATCTCAGGCATCAGTCTGGGATTCAAGAGCTAACCCTTGTCAGGTCATCTGTTTCTGGGGGTTAAATCAGCCCAGTCTTAACCCCTTGGCTCCTCAGTCCTCCCTCTCTGTCACTGGATTCCTTGAGTTCAGCTCAGTGTTTATCTGTGGGAGTCTGCTATAATTGTTTTTTTTAAAATACTCTTCCATCCAAGTACTAACCAGGCCCGACCCTGCTTAGTTTCTGAGATCAGAGGAGATTGGGGGCTTTCAGGGTGGTATGGATGCTCTCTCAGCCTGGACACATGGGGAAGGGCCTAGGTCCTGCCCTGGATGAAATGACAGACTTTAGAGATCCCCCCAAGGAGTGCCTCACCCTCCCTGGGGAATGATGTGGGGATTGCGTGAGGGGTTGGGGGGCTGGTGGAGGAACAAGGGGGGGAGGGGTGGGAGAGGGAGCTGGGATTGACATGTGAAACATTCATGTTTCTAATTTAAATAAAAACATTACAAATAATACTCTTCATTGAACAGTAAGATGTTCTAAACCAAGAACCCACTTATCAAAGGTTGTCCAGTGCCAGATGGTTATATTTATATGTGAAAACATGTGCAGGTTGTATTTAGGAATATATGTACATGTACATACAATAACAGTTTAAAGAGGCCATGGATTTGAAAGGGACTAAAAGAGGGACCTGCGGAGAAAAAGATAATCTCAAAAACTAAAAAGAAAATGCCAACTCATTTGAAAGGAGACTGGGCAAACTAGGAAAAAGAGTTATCTGCTTTAGGAAAGCCACTGCCTAGGAGAATGTTTCCCCAGTATCAGAAGTGAATACAACGGTAATTCAATGTATCCAGGTTCCATCCTGACCTGTCAGCATTTCCCACATTATTGTTTTTTTCAGGCATCTAAAAACTGGAGGAAGGGGAGGATTGCTATGAAACATTGCCATGTGAATACAATATAGCCATTTGTTGTGATTTGAAAGAGAATGGCCCCCATAAGTTTATATATGTGAATGTTTGGGTGGGATCTGAGGTTTCAAAAGCCCATGCTAAGTGCAGAGTCTCTCTGCCAAGTGCTATGGATCAGCTGTAAGTTCCCACTTACTGCTCCAGCAACATGCCTACCTGCTTGCTGCTATGTTCCTCACCATGAGCATGAAACTGTAAGCAACTACACAGTTAACTTCCACTTCTAGAAGTTGCCTTTGTCATGGTGTCTCTCTACAGCAATAGAACAGTAACTAAGATACTACTGCAATCATGAACACACAGCTATGGATACCCACAGAAGTCTGCTATGTAGATAAAAATTGCCAAATAGTTTTGACTCAACCATTAAAGGTATATGCCTGAACCTTAGCTGCCAATATTGTGTGGCAGGAACGTTTTTCAGTAACTGTTTCCACACTAAATATTTTAATGATAGAAGACACACACATTTTCTGGGTTTTTGTTTTTTGAGACAGGGTTTCTCTGTGTAGTTTTGTAGACCAGACTGGCCTCAAACTCAGAGATCCACCTGCCTCTGCCTCTGCTTCTGGAGTGCTGGGATTAAACGCATGCGTCACCACTATCTGGCCCTCACACACATTTTCTTTATCATGTGTTACTAATGTGTTGATAAGTTTGCACTAAAATGCATTATTTTAACAATGTATTGTATGCTATGTCTGTGTGTATAGTTAGAATACGTAATTCTAGAGGAACATTAGAAATAATTTATATGTAACAGAACAAGACAACAAATATTAGTTTTTACTTTTGATGGGTTTATTTGTTTATGCTTCTTCAGCCCATTCCGTGTCACTATCTGATTTTCCTGAATTATACCCCATTGCTTTACGACGGAACCGGATTATATCTGCCTCATTTTCAAAAATCTTAGATAAACCTTTTGGTATGTTTTCTCGAGTTTTGCGTAATCGAACACCTTTTCTTATTGCTTCCATCAATGCTTTCCTTGCTTTGCTCATTATTGGCAGGAATGATGAAGGATTTTGCTTTACATCAGCCCATGTTGGCACTACTTCATACTGACTTATTGCTAGAGCTCTATGGCTTGAAACGGATGTTGATTTCATAGAAGACAATGATGATTGTAGAGTGGTAACTTTCGTTGAGGTGAAACATGATAGTTTTGACTGTGGTGAATGCAAATGTCCTTTTAGATTTGTCATGGGTGATCTTGACTGTGCTTCGATAAGTTTTGTTAAGTGGCTCACCGAACGCTTTGGTGAGGGTAACAGCTTTGTGTTGGTGTTTGATGAGGCAGAAACTGAAACAGAACGAGGTGTTACCCCAGAAGATCTTGGTGATTGGGCACTCAAAGACCCTGATGTTTTTGGGACTTGGCTTTCTGGTAGTGATCCACATGTAGATTTTGATTTGGATGAAGATATTGACAATGATTTTGCAGATTGAACTAATTGTGGAGAAGATCTTTTGGGTTGGCAAGTGGAATGCTGTTGTGGATGCACAGCTAAAGCAGAATCAATAAGACCCACAACTGAATTCCATGACTTATTATTTAGTTTAATTATTGAAGGATATAAAAGTGGAGGGCTCATGTGATCTTGGCTCTGTGGACATTGATCAGGTTTCAGTTTTAAACATCCAAGAGAATCTGGTGTTGAAGTGAATTCAGGTGGCATATTTAGGTCTATGTTAGAAGTGGTCTTTAAGCAAGCAGATGTTGTTGTAGTTGTTGTAGTTTCCAAAACAAGTAATGAAGATGCTAATGGTGAGTTTATTGATCCTACAACTCTATGAGCAGATGGACTTTCAGAACTGGTAAGCTGGATCAGCCAGTTCGATGGTAATGGTGGTGCTTTTGGTGCTAGAGGGTTGACAAATACACCTGTTTTATGATGAAGTAGCGATGATGGCTGACTGAGCACCACGTCCCCCTTACCAGTTCCATAAAGGACACGAGGACGTGAATTGCTCATATGCCCAATATTGTAATATGGGTGTTCTTGCTCACCACGTAAGATGTTCTTTACAGACTTTCCTCGAGGCTTGCTTTTATTCAGTGGAAAAATGTAGAACAAAGAGCCACCATCAGACTGATCTAAATATGAATGAGATACTGCCCTATCAGAGGATGGAATGTGATCCACAGAGATATGTTCTTTTGCCAATCGACACTGTAACATATTTTTTGGTTCATTGGCATGGTCTAGATTTGTGTCCTTTATGTGTTTCTCACTTGTTTGTTCTTTATTCACAGATAAGTTTTCTTTTACAAATTTGGAGCAATATAAACATGAGTGGAATGAACCATCAGAAGAACTTGAATCTTCTGTATCATTTTTGTAGTATGAAGGCACTGTATGAAGTGGTATTGCTATATTAGAATTGTTTCTTTCAAATATGTTAACAGGTAATGATGTGCAGGAGTATACTTGTTGTACTTGCTGTGTTTCAATAGTTATATTTGGAAAAGTCTTCCTTGACTTCCACACTTGCATGGATAACACTTCATTTGGAATTTTATGAGTAATAGCATCAGTTAACTGGATTATATTTTCTTGTAAAATCTTAAGTTTAAAAGAGATGCTATGAATCTCTTTATCTAGTTTTCCAAATAAGTCTTCAGTGTATTTATCAAGATCATTTACTCGTCTCACTATTTTGTTTAATGATGTCAGAATTACATAGATGAACTCATCTTTAATTTCAGTAATTGTCCCTGATTGATTTAGATATTGTTCAAACTTTTCTTCATTAAATGACATATTAGATTTGTGCTAAAGTCTTGAAAGCCACTTCTATATCTCTGCATTAAGCATTCACCATGCTCATCAGTCCATTCCAGGCTGTTAAATGGAATTTTAAGCTTTTCCAACATCTGATAATCACAAAGCTTTTGGAGACGTGAAGGCACCAACTCCTCACCTTCAAGTTCTCAGCAGTTACAGGACAAGCAAATTGTTTCATCAGATTCCTCTCTTTGAACAGGCAATGTGACAATATATTATTACATCATTGTCATGCCCAATCACCTCTCGTCCCTCTGACATCTATCCCCCTCTGCTATCATCCTCCCTCTGATCTCACCTTTAATCTGCCCTCTTCAATCTGGCTGCCTTCTACCCTCCTCCCTTATCTGTTCCCTAATTTCCTTCTCCTTTTGACTACTTCTATCACCATTCTGCTCTCTTACCACCTTTTCTTTGTTCATTCTGTCCTCTGTCCCCAAGTTCTGCCTCTAACTCCCTCTATTTCTCTTCCTAACCCCACCTTCATAACTCCACTCTGCATTTATGACATCACCTTCTCTCCTGACTCCACTCCCCTCTATAATCAGCCCTCCTCTATCCCTCTCCAAAAACTATCCTCCTCATTCTTCCTACCCTCGAGACTCCTATCTCAACAGAATTCTCTCCCCTTCAAAAGTCCTCTGCCCTCCTCCTCCTGGTCTCCTACTTCATCCATGTTCTTCCTCCCTTTACACTATTTCCTCCATGCTTCTATCTCCTCTGATATCCTCCCTCTATTCAGCTGTCCATTCCATCTCCTGTTCTTAAACCACCATACTCCACATTTTCTTCCATTTCCCTTTCACACCCTTGAATCTCCTCTGTCCCTGATAAATCTGCTCCCTGCCTCCATTTTCCCTCTACATTCCTCTTTTCTCCCTTTGTATTCCTCCTCCTCCAGCTTTTCTTTTCTGCACCATTTGCCCTCCTCTGTTCTCTACTACCCTTGACCCTTTATCTACCCATATACTGCCACTGTCCTCCCTACCTCTGTTTCTTCCTCCCTCTGTAGTCTATTGTACTGTCCTGCCTATGTACCCACCTCCTGATCCCACCTTCCGCCTCCACCCTCCCCGACTATGACATCACTCTGAACTCCATCTTCTCTTCCCTCAACTCTCCTCCTCCCTCTACCCTCCACATTACTCTCTCCTCCCTTTGCTCTCTTCCTCCCTCCACACAACCCTTTCCTTGCTCTGATCTCCTATACCATGAGCCCTCTATTCCATGAGCTCCCCTCTTTGTTCTTAGAACACTACATTCCTTCCTGCTCTCCTCCCTCTATTATTTCCATACCTCTTGGCACCTTATTTCTGCCCTAATTCCTCAAACCTCCCCTGCAACCCTAACTCTCCTCTGTATAAGCCCTGCTCATTTTTTAATGCCCTTTGATTTCCTTTCTTCTTCACCCTCTGATTTCTACCTGTCTCTTCCCTACTGCCCTCCTTTCCCTAGTACCTGTGGTTTTCCCTTCCTTAGCTGTATTCATTCTGTCCCCTGCTGTCTCACCTCTGGACTGACCTCCCTCTGTTCTCCTGCTGACCCTGCCCTCCTGACTCCATCCACTCTGATTATGACATCACACTTTTCTACATTCCTCATCCACCCTCTGCCATCCTGCCTCTGCTTGCATCCATCCTCTCCTTCTGGGCTCTCTCCCTCCCTTTGGGCTCTGCCCCCTGTGCTCTGTTTACCAGACATTCCATCTCTCCTCCCTTTGCTGTCTTCCCTTCCCACAATTTGCTCCACACTCCAACATCTTTTCATCTCCTTCTGCCTCTCCCTCTAACATTTTCCTTCTACCTATGCTCTCTCTGCTTCCCTCTGCATCTCCCTCCAGTCCTCCTCTCCTCTCCTTGTTCTGGGAGTTCCACACCCCTCCCTACTCTTCTCCCTGAACAACCCCTTCCTCCCTGAGCTCTATTCTCTATGCCTTTCACTTTCATCTTCCTTCTTCATCCTGTGATTTCCTTCTACACCCTCCTGCCCCTCCTTTCCCTCTTACCTGTGGTGTTTTCTTCCCTTATCTCTCTCTGTCCTCTGCTGTCCCCACCTCTGGACTGACCTCCCCCTGTTCTCCTCCTGACCCTGCTCTCCTGACTCTGCCCACTCTGATTATGACATCACTCTGCTCTCTGCACTTCTCGCTACTCTCACTGCACTTCCTGCCCCCATATTAATCCCTCCTTTTCCTCTGATTTTTTCCAGCCTCCTCTCCCCTCTCCCTCAACACAACTCTCTCCTTCACAGGTCCTCGCCCTCATTCAGTGCTGTCTTACTCCCTCTCCCTGTTATTCCTCTTCTCTGCCCTTTGATCTCCATCCTTCTGCTTTTGTTCTCCATCTCCTTTCACCTAACTCCTCCCCCTCTGACCAACTCTAACATCCTCCCTTTGGTTACCTTTCTCTCCAGCCTTTTCTTTCTTCTATTCTCAATGTATTCTTACCTCTGATTTTAAGCTTTGACCCCAGCCCTCCTGCCCACTTTCCACTCTCCTCTTGGACCTCCACAACCCTCTTTCTGTACTGCTTATATTTCCATCCCTCCGGCTCCCCTTCCTTCTGTTCCTTCTGCTCTGTCCCTCAAAACTCCCTGTTTCTTCCTCAATCCTGTTTCTTTCTCTATGCTCTTTGGCCCCCTCTTCTTCATTCTCTGATCACTTCATTCTTCACATCACTCTCATCTACCGCCCCTCCTTTCCCTCTTACCTGTGGTATTTTCCTCCCTTAGCTCTCTTCCCTCTGACCTCTGCTGTCACCACCCCTGGACTGATCTCTCCCTGTTCTCCTCCTGACTCCACCCACTCTGATTATGACATCACACTTTTCTACACTCCTCCTCATCCATCCTCTGTCATTCTGCCTCTGCTCTCATCCGTCCTCTCCTCCCTGGACTATCCTCTTCCTCCTTCTGAGGTTTGTCCTCTACTGTCTGTTTTCCACCTCTTCTGACCTCCTTCTGCCTCTCCTTCCAACAATTTCCCTTATTCCCATGCACCCTCTGCCTCCCTCTGCATCTCCCTCCAGCCCTCCTCTCCCCTGCTTCTTGTTCTGGGAGCTCCACACCCCTCCCTACTCTTCTCCCTGAATAACCCCTTCCTCCCTGAGCTCTATTCTCTATGCCTTTCACTTTTATCTTTCTTCTTCATCCTGTGATCTCCTTCTACACCCTCCTGCCCCTCCTTTCCCTCTTACCTGTGGTGTTTTCTTCCCTTATCTCTCTCTGTCCTCTGCTGTCCCCACCTCTGGACTGACCTCCCCCTGTTCTCCTCCTGACCCTGCCCTCTTGACTCCGCCCACTCTGATTATGACATCACTCTCTGCTCTCTGCACTCCTCACTACCCTCACTGCACTTCCTGCCCACCCATATTAATCCCTCCTTTTCCTCTGATTTCTTCCTCCCTCCAGCCTCCTTTCCCTTCTCCCTCAACACAACTCTCTCCTTCACAGGTCCTGTGCCCTCAGCCCTCCTGCCCACTCTTCACTCTCCTCTTGGACCTCCACAACCCTTTCTGTACTACTTATATTTCCATCCTTCTGGTTTCCCCTCTTTCTGCTCTATCCCCCATAACACCCTGCTTCTTTCTCAATCCTGTTTTTTTTTTCTCTATGCTCTTTGCCCCCCCTCTTCTTCATTCTCTGATCACTTCCATTCTTCACCTCTCTCTCATCTACCGCCCCTCCTTTCCCTCTTACCTGTGGTTATTTTCTTCCCTTAGCTCTCTTCCCTCTGTCCCCTGCTGTCCCCACCTCTGCACTGACCTCCCCCTGTTCTCCTCCTGACCCTGCCCTCCTGACTCCGCCCACTCTGATTATGATATCACTCTCTGCTCTCTGTACCCCTCCCTCCGATCTGCTATCCTCCCTCTACCCTCTTCCTTTTGACCTCATCCATCTTCTCCTCCCTAGACTCCTCCCTCTAGAATCTGCTCTCTTCCCTTTGCTCTCCCCATCTCTTTCCTTTTCTCCTCCCTTTGATGTCTACCTCTCTTCACACAATTTCCTTCCACTCCAACCCTCCAACCTCCTCCCTCTACTCACCTCTCTTTTGAACCTTGATCCTTTACCCTCCTGTCCTGTCCTCCTTTGATCTACTCCTCCTTTTGTCCTCTTTCTCCAGTCTTGGGTCATCCAGTTTACTCCTCCCTCTGTTCTCTTGTACTTCTAAACCTCTTCTCCACCCTCTATTTTCACCTCCTTAGGCCCGCTTCTTTCTCCAGTATTTTATCAAAGCACCTCTGCCTTCCTCTTTATGCTTTCACCCATCCTTGTCATCTCTCCTCTGCTCTCCCCTCTTCTCCCTCTGCTGTTTTTCTGCTTCCACCTTCTCTTTCCCCTATTTGCTTTCTCTCCTCCCTTCCCAAGTCTTCTGCCTTCTTCCTTCTGCTCTCTATCCTCTGCTAACCTCTCCATCTGTCTTTAAACTGCGTCTATCCCCAACTCTACTCTTCTCCTCCCTTCTCTCTGTCCTCTTCACCCCTCTTTTCTCCCACGTGTGATCTCTCTTTATCCTCCCCTCAACATCCTGTGCCCTCCTACCTCTACCTCTGTTCCATCCTCTTTTTCTCCTGACTCCACTGTCTTTCTGCTCTCTCCTCATCTGCTACCCTATCCCCTCAGCTGTCCTGTCCCTCTTCCCTCTGATATCCTCCTCCCTGAGCTCTCTTCCCTGTTTGCCTTCTTCATCCTTCCGTGCCCTGCTCTTTCATTTCTTATCTCAGCCCTCCTCCATCTCCAAATCCCCTCCTCCCTCAGCACTGCCTGTTCATCTGTTCAGTCTATCTTCCTCTTTCCTGCCCTCCTCCTACTCTCTGCTCCCCTCAGCCCTATTCCCCCTAGTCTCCCTGCTCACATTTTGTCCCCTTCCTTTTTTCCACTGTTTTCTTTCTCTCTTGTCACTCTTTCCTCAGCCCCCTGCTCTCCGTCTCTGCTCTTCCTTCTTCACTGGCTTCCCTCAGCCCCTTCCTCTCTCTACT